ATGCTTAGAAGATATCCCAGCAGGTGCACTATATTCATTAAACAGTATACTCATGATGGCTTCTTCACTAGGGCCTGTAGCCTTTCTTGACACAGGCATTGGCCTGGTCTACAGCACCAGATGTGTGTTCCACCCCTAGGAGAAGGCTTTATCCAATTAGAAATTTGTCGGTTGTACGTATGTTGGTCGAGTCGTTATTGCACTTGCAGGTATTGCTTGGTATGTCCATAGTGTGCAGCATGTGGGGTCCATCGTTGAGTAGAATTATAGGGGATCCTTTCTTCCCCAACCATCTGCACAGAACCTTTTGGCAATATGAACGTCATCCATCCAGTCCAGTGGCATGGAGTTTTTTGGCTTAGTCTGGGTTTCTTCTCATCGTCTTTTCCCATGCTCACAACATGCAGTGTCCTCAGCAACGCGGCCTTACCGACCTTTCTAGTGTACAACCGACGTTAATGGCAAGAGCCTTGCTGAATTGGAGGACCTCTAGGATCTCTCTCTCTGACCAACAGCTCATAGGGGAGCAACCCACCCCTGTGGTACTGTAGATTTTCTTAACAGTTGAATAGTTTGGGAGTCTCTGTCCTCATCTTACCCAACCTACATAAAACTCCCAAGAATCTTACAGCTATAGCTGGCCTTTGCTTCTTCAGGTATCTTTCAAATGGGTTTCACATCTGTAAAACACTTGAAGGAACGTTAACATTATATGTTAAATCAATCATAGAAAAGGTCTCACACAGCATGGAGAGGTTTTGTCCATTCGTATTAACTGTTTTCTCCATAGATCCTTGTTAGGTACCATAGCATGGGTATGAGGCATTAATTTGGTTAGCTCTTTACCATTTTTAGTTATCCCTTTGGATTCTTTTATTCTTGATACGCTTACAGGGTTGGCTCCAGTTGCCTGACCCTGCACTGGGGAAGGCCCTGGTGGGAAAAACTGCCTCCACCCCTCATATAGCCTTTCTCAGGAGAGAAATGTACCCTATTTAATTTTGGGGGATCCTTAACCACCTATCCTCTGAATGCCTTTCATGAACTGTTCTTCAGGTTTTAAAGCCTTCCAGAAACTCCTTAGTACCGATTTTTTTTTTTTTTTTCGGTCTTTTTGAGACAGGGTCTCCCTGTAGCCCCAGCTGTCCTGGAACTCTCTATGTAGACCAAGCTGGCCTTGAACTCACAGAGATCCACCTGCCTCTGCCTCCTAAGTGCTGGGATTAAAGGCATGCACCACCATGCCTGGCTGAATTTGGTTTTATATCAGTTTTTTCTTTAGGAATTTGGGCTCAACATAAATCTTGCCACATTTGTCTTTGAGTAACCCAAATGGACCATTTCTTCTGTCTTGTCTTTTTTATATCTCTTGTAAGGTGTTCTGTTATTCTACAGACATGTTTTACATGTTGGTCAGAGTCAGTTAGATCTGCTAAAGCCTCTCTCACTTTACAAAGATCCTGTCCCATCAAAGGGCTTAGCAAAACCA